TTTAACAAACCTTTTATACTTACCACAGACGCTAGTAATTTCGCCATCGGGGCAGTCCTGTCCCAAGGCACTCTTAATCAGGACAAACCTGTATCTTTCGCTAGCAGAACGCTATCCGATACAGAAACAAATTATTCCACGGTAGAAAAAGAAATGTTAGCCATAATCTGGTCCATAAAACATTTTCGCCCCTATTTATACGGACAAAAATTCAAAATAGTTACGGACCATAGACCACTCACTTGGCTAATGAATTTCAAAGAACCAAACTCAAAACTGGTTCGATGGAAACTGCAATTATTAGAATACGACTACGAGGTGATTTACAAAAAAGGATCTCGAAACGTAGTGGCAGACGCTCTTAGCCGTGTAACTGGGGAAGTCAATACTAACTCCGTGCTTTCCCCCACAAACAGTGTTACTCCTGACACAATTTTTATTTCCAATAAACCATTAAATGAATTTAACTTACAAATCGTTTTTAAAATCGCAACACAGTCAGAGAAACTGACTTCTATGCCTTTCAAAAATAAATTGAGAAGAACGATTTCAGAAACAAATTACGACAAAAAAAAGTATGGCCTATATCTTAAAACAAATTTTAAAACCCAACAAAACTTGTGCCATTTTCGCATCAGACGAAATATTTAAAATCATAGAAGAAGCCTTAAGAGAATACTTTCTACCTACCGAATTATATAAGGTTATTAGATGCAATATCTTATTAAGGGATATAACCGACCCGAACGAGCAGGAATTAGAAATTCGTAAATACCATCTGGCAAGCAACCATAGGGGAATTGATGAAACAGTAGCTCACTTGAGAAGATCGATATATTTTCCTTTACTAAAAACCAAAGTGACCCATATAATTAATGATTGTGACGTCTGTCAGAAACTCAAATACGATCGACAGCCACAAAGACTAGAATTTTTAGAAACTGAAACCCCATCACACCCTATGCAAATTATACACATCGACATTTATACCATTAACGGAAAAACTATTTTAAGTATCATTGACAAATTTTCAAAATTCGCTTCAGGCTATACAATTCCAACCAGGGACAGTCTGAACATAGTCAAGTCAATGAGAAATTTTCTGTCGACTTTTGGTATTCCAAAGAAACTCATTTGCGATCAAGGTTCAGAATTTTCTAATAAGCTCTTTAAAGATTTTTGCGCACAATACAACATTATAGTACACTTCACTTCGTTCCAACAATCGTCGAGTAACTCTCCAGTGGAACGACTTCATTCGTCCCTAACGGAGATTTACAGAATAATCTTAAACAAAAGAAAGACAGAAAAACTTTCGTGCGAACACTTCGAAACTCTTCACTTCGAAACTCTAACAACTTATAATAACTCCATTCACTCGGCGACGAATTACAGCCCATTCGAAATATTCCACGGTAGAACCCATCTATTTAATCAGGAGGTTAGCCCAAATAATGAACATGATTATCTCCAAAAGCTTAACGAATTTCGTAGTGTTATCTACCCCGAATTAAAAGAAAGTATTGAGAATAAAATGAAAGAAAGAATTGCTAAAAGCAACGAAAGTAGAAACTCACCAATAGCTCTCGAGCAGGGTAATACAGTGTTCAGGAAAGAAAATTGGAGAAATAAGCTAACACCTCGATTTTCAAAACACACAGTTAGAGAGGATAAAGGCCTAACCTTTATTTCACACAAAAACCAAAAGATACACAAATCTAAAATTAAAAAAAGAACCAAATAGTAATCTCAGTCATATTTTACAGATTTTGCTGCATAAATGCACAACTTATAAAAATTCAAACACTGGAGGAACATGACAAAATCGCAAAAATAGACCTAGGAGACGCAAGGGTCATTCAATCTTATAAACACTTACTGCATAAAATTGATACGAAAAGCCTTCTAGAAAACACTAGGAATTTTGAAACAGCAGTCAATAGCCTAGAGCAAGTAACATTTTCAAATGAAATCATAGACGGTTTGAGAGCTAAAGTAGAGCAACTAAAAATAAAAATAAATGCTCTATTACCAAAAAATAGAGAAAAAAGAGGTTTAATTAACGGTCTTGGTAGCATTATTAAAGTCGTTACGGGAAATATGGACGCAAAAGACGCCCAATCTATTGACAATAAGTTTTACACTGTTAAAGAAAACGAAAATCAAATTACTGAACAAATGAATAAACAAACAATATTTAATAAGGAAGCAATCATAAGATTTGAGAACATAACAAATCATATTAACAAAGAACAAACAATTATTAATGATTTTATAAAAAATTATAATAACAATATATATAAAACACTAAATGATGAACATAAGGAAATACATTTGCTCCAATACATTACAAGAATTAATTTCAATATAGATATTTTACAAAAACCATATAAACAACATAGCAGAAAGCATGTTACTGACTAAACTAAATATTATTCCCAAATTTATTCTATCTGAAAAGGAAATTAAATCAATAAATGAGTTCATATCAAATCAAAATGTAATAGTAAAATCTGACGAACATCTATATAGATTGTTAGCTTTAGAAACCTATATTAATAATGCGTACATTATATTCAATGTTAAGATACCTATATTTTACACACAAACGTATTCACTTACACACATTGTTCCTTTACCATGGAACAAAACAAAGTTCTTAATTGTACCCAATTATATTCTACACAACGCAAATAATCAAACCTTATGTCTAGAAGAAAAATGTCCAAAAATACATGAGACATATATATGTGAGAATGCACAAACAAATTTAGCTCAGACCCACTGCCTCAAAGGCATATTCAATAACCAAACGGCAACATGCGACGTCATGGACGTCGGTCAACAAGAAATCATCAAAGAAGTGGAACAGCGGCACATCTTTATTTTTAACACAGTACACACCAACGTCACATCCTCATGCCAGGAACCCTTTTCCGTCAACGGGTCAGTAATTTTAACATATAACAATTGTACGATCAAAATCAACGGATTAACTTATGATGATACAACAATGGAGTTCGACCAAGAAACGGAACTCTCCGTAAAGTCGTTTAAGCAGATGAATATTAACAACACTTTTGAAGACATAAACCTGTACAAACTCCATCTACAATCTTTATCAAGCCGAGATGACATCATCGTTATGAAGACCTCAACAACCAACCATCTCTTCACAATCTATTTACTGTTTGCATTTTTGACAATTTGCACAATACTGACCCTGATGTTTAAAAGAAGAAGCACCTTTATTACCCCGGTGGAAATTCCGTTAAACTACGTGCCGGCCATCCCATCCATGTGGCCGTCACTTCATTCCAGGGGGGGAGGAGTTACCGATACCGCATTACAGAGTATATACGATTCGGTACCACCCGCCAAGCCGCCGAGACAGAGTTCATTGCTCACATAAACAATGGAATGTGCTACTATGTTGCAAATGCCGACCAAGCACTTTGACAGGATGTCAGTTGCGACAGTTCTCATAAGCAAAACTAGAACTGCCGCATCAACACTTTATTGGGTACATGTTGAGAACGAAACACAAATCTTGTAAACATTTTGTAGCTTAGCTTTAATTTCTAAAATAAAGAAAGAGTTAGTTCCATTTTGGACACAACCAAAAACACTTCGGCTTTGGCTTGTTATTAATCTGACTTTTGGGAAAACATTGGCTGGCATCCATACTGTGACTTGGGACCTTTTGAGCTAACCGGAAATCTACAAACTACACCTAGCCTAGGAAAGGTTTGGTAACTCGTGCGGGGAGAGCCACCAAAAAAAGTGGCTGCATAGTGAAAACCAATATATGACCTTTACGCATCTTATTATTCTAGTGTCTGTGGTAAAATGGTATGCTATATTAATTGAAAAGTATGTATCATAATTTCTCAGCTTTGCTGACCCGGAAAAGTATATTAAATATCAGTCCAGACTTTTCCTAATTGTCTTGCCATTTTGAGCACACGCGCTTTTACGCCCACTGCAAAAAGCTGTGACGACCAAAATTTTAAAAATGTATGGTTTTTTTTATTTGAAAATTATAAAATTTCTCCCTAGCACTCCCACTAGCTGAGTAACTATATCGTTTCTGATCGGTCCTACTAAAGCTATTAAATAGATTAAAATATTTCTTGATTTTGAACATTTAAAAAAACAACAATGATACAACTAATTTTGCTTATATCATTTTCCGTATAACATAACATTCCGTGGAAACTATAGGAAATGTTTTTACGATGCGATCCGATTCTTGATTTTGAACATTTAAAAAAACAACAATGATACAACTAATTTTGCTTATATAATTTTCCGTATAACATAATATTCCGTGGAAACTGTAGGAAATGTTTTTACGATGCGATCCGATCAGTTGGGTATATTGGGTATAGTTGGGTATATTTACTGCTTGCATTAGAAACAAACATGTAAATTATGTAATTCCTATTGTCCCGGGATACTCTTAGTGGATGGCCTCGGCAGATAGAGCGTACGCAGATGATTAGTCCCGTGTTCCTGGAGTTTTCTAGGATGGAGTATTCTTACGTAGATTATGATGGAGGGCGTGACTGTGCCCCCTTTGCTGGGCACTGACCTTCTAGCTCAGTGTGAACAATATATATTATATTAAATGATTTTACTGCAAGTTGCCGGAGTTGCTTGTTCTTTATTTCTAAAGGGCTCGCTTAAGACTGAATACAGAGGAATGGAAAATTACGAATAAGCCCTAGCTCCAATGCATCACGCTATAGCATTTCTGCAGCGCAATGCGGTACCCCGGATACGGAGTGCCAGACATCCGCTGCTGGTCGTTCTTGGCGCAGAGCGCTGAACTTTATTTAGGCGCGTCAGCATTCTATATGGATCTACTTAGTTACTAGGGTATTGGTTGTTAACTTTTACATCGCTGCATTAGATACTAAAATCAGAACTAAAATACCCTTTACAAGAGTATACAAACAAATAAATTATGTGTCTTTCATTTCTTGTAATAATTTCAGGTTGCATGGATCAAATCTGATTCAAAGGCCATACTTGGTATACACACCCACATGGTCTCATTAAATCCACGATTATCTGTAACACATAACGGCCACAATACCTGGAAACTCCATATATCTCGTGTACAGATAAACGATTCCGGGAGTTATATGTGCCAAGTAAATACAGATCCTATGAAGAGCCTTGTAAGTGCATCAAACCATTATAAAACGTAACAAAAACAGTATTCAAGCAAATAAAATCACCTCTCAAAGACACATTCAAATTCAATTATTTTTTTGTATTCAAAATATTTATTATTAATTTTTTATATAAAATGGTTTTTGATTCATATGCTGACCTGAAGTTCCCCAATGTCGGGTATTGAAAAAGTCTTGCTAACAAATCATTGTGATCAAACAAATGGTCATACAATTTGTAATTTACTCCCACTGCCTTCTTATAGCTCCAATTTTCTAAATGTTGGCTTTCATAGTTCTTCTTCTTTCTATTCTTTTCTATTTTCTTTTTTTTTTTTTTAGTTTTTTTTTTGCCGTTTGATTGGGGTGTAATCGAATGATAAAAGCAAATTTTTATTTACCGTCTATATATGGTAATCGCCTTCGCACACACTCGTGGTTCCAAAAATTAAACTTTAAAAATTAATTATTAAACATTTTAATTTATCTAATGCCTTTCATTATCTTTGTTTTGCAGTCTGGATATTTAGATGTTGTTGTACCTCCTGATATTTTAAACCATCCAGAACATAATCCAGAGGAAGGTGTCTGTCAAGAGGGTGGGAGTATTGCACTTATATGCAGTGTAACAGGCGTTCCAAGACCTAAAGTTTTGTGGCGGCGTGAGGAAGGAAAGGAAATAATTCTACGCACGGAAAGCAGAGATAAAACAGGTTAATATGCTAAGATCCATGTGAAAAGCAAGAAGAATTGCTCCAGTAGAATGCGTCGACTATTACATACTTGTTGCATTGTATTTTAATTTAAAAAGAAATATTCTGGTTCCCACAGAATTTAATTAGAGAATCCGGTGTAAAAATTATATTGATATACGTAGGACGTATACACAGATTCATATCTAAGCGATTTCTCTGGTAACTCGAGCACTCCAAGCTATCATGACACAATTTGTTGTATATGATATCTACACCAATTATTCTCAGATCTATATTGAAATCGAATTTATTAAAATATTGTATTTCGATTTGATGTTTATAAAAAATAATGACGGCTAGTTTCGACGAGCCGAAACTTATATACCCTTTCATTAGAGTAAAATTAAAGAGTAATACACATATACTTGTACATATACACATACACATCCACATACCACTACACATGCACATACACATACACATAGGCGGGAAATGTTTGAAGACGAAATGAATGTGAATCACGTTGGTGCTCCCGGAAAAACTCAAAAATTTCCGCGCCGAGCCAGCGGGGATGCGCCAGGGGTTGCGGCCTATATCAGCGACACCGTCCAGAGCACTTACCCGTTGAGGACAAGATCTCCGGAGTTCCATAGACCTCCGCCGGCTCCGATCTCCAAGGCCATGAGATAGGCCAGGGTGAGAGAATTATTCGGAGCATTCCCTTCTCTTTTCTCTTACATCCCCTTTCTTTTTGTGCAACGTGAGATCCAATGTCACGCTAGCTGATCACTAAGCCAGTTGATTACCCAGTGTTGGAAAAGGACCGATATACGGAAAATAGCACAAACTAGCTCGGGCTAGTAATTTTAGGTGTTAGAGGTCAAGGAGCAGACCAACTCCACCGCTCACGCGGTACACCTAATTCAAGGGCACTGGCGACCGAGCTGGAGCGGTATAATTTCCACCGGTGAAGAACCCTTGCCCATTTCACACCCTCACACTGAAATTCACGGAGCGTCTGACCTAAATGAGCGGCTGCGTGGTCTGCGTCTGTGCCACAATGGCCGGCAGTAAGCTAAACCTGGCAGTAGGTATAAACTGCAAAACAAACCTGGTAGTTCGTATAAAATGCTTCTTTAAGTAATGTCGATTAATAACATTACTACTCCAGATGGCAACAAATTAGTTGGAAATCCACCCGTAGACAACTCCACGGCAGGGACAGGGATTCTGGAGTCCCCAAATCCCATTCTAAACAAACCTGGCGAAGTGGTGGTGAGCTTGGCCGCCTCGACAGTGAAAGCAACAAGCGAACTAAAAGAAGGAATGGACAAGGCGGGGGCTTTCCTAGCAGGAAAATCTTGCGTTCGCCGATCTTGCCAAGGACACCTGCTCCACTACAGGCGGGTCCAACCTGGCGGGTCCAACCTTGATAGACGGTAGATAGGCAGGACACGCAAAAGCGGGCTCGGACCCCGGGCAGCCCCTCCGGCTCGAGCCGAAAAACACCCCCAAAAAGGACGAAGGCCGATAGGCAGGTCCTGTGTGCCCCTGGACCAGCTTATAATCCTGACCAACGTCAATCAGGTGCGTCACATTAACGTCCAGATGAAAGCGATGTTCGCCAATATGAAGGCTCTCCAGTAGGACGCCAGCAGGGAGCTGGAAATGGAGAACAAACGAGGCAACGCAACAACAATTGCCCTACCGGATGCCCCAAGTGCGGGGGTAAAAAAGCGAAAGCCGTGGACAAACTGCAGCAGACCAGCCCCAGCCCAAAAAGAGACAGCATCGCACAAACGGACGTTCCCTACCCCTCGAATGCCACGAAGCAGTACACTAGCAACCCAAGGGCAGACCAAGTACCACAGAGGAAGAAGCCGAGGGAGAAGAGAGCGAGCCCTCTAAAGCGGCAGGCGAAGACAGCAGAGCAAACCACGGCACAGCAAGCTGAAATCCAGAGCAGTGGCAAGCCAGAAACATGGACGAAAGAGGCGACGAAGAAAACACGCTTGTCGCGGAGACCCGACGCAGTGATAGTGGAAGCGAAAGGCAAGACCTACAGCGACGTCTTGGCTTTGGTCACGAGGCGAAGGGACGGTCAACTGGAGGAGCTGCGAAAGACACAAGGTTCGCTGCACAGCGAGCGGCAACCTATTGTTCGAGCTCAACAGGGATGGCGACAGAAGTGCATCGCTGATGAAGAAAGCAGTGAAAGCAGTGTTACCCAACGGCAGGGATACCCAAACGGCAACAGTAGGCCTGCCGTGTAGCGAGGCGCAAGCGGTCCTGGCCAAGGGAAAGGTGGAATGGACGGTCTGCAGAGTCAAATAGAGCGAATCTAGACCTAGGTGCTTCAAGTGCCTGGACTTCGGCCACTTTGTGGTGCGATGCAAGAGCCCTGCAAATCTCAGCGACTGCTGTCTCAAGTGCGGACAAACCGGTCATAAGATAGCTAGCTGCACACAGGAGGCCACATGCTTCATATGCATAAGTGCCATGATAGCTAGCTATATCATTATAATATTAGTTTGGCAAATATCCGCCTTTTTGTCTTTTGAATACAATACAATACATACAATACTATACATAATTTGAAAGGTCTTGACATAACCTACAAAACGACGCTATGCATGATTAGTTTGGATATTGCGTTCAACAGTTATAGACGTGTAAGCATGGAGTTCACTAACGCCGAAATTCGCGCTATTTTAAAGTTTTCCTTCGTTAAAGGCAAATCCGCTAGAGAAACGTTCCGTGAGATTAATGGTGTTTTGGGGGATGGTACTCTATCACTTGGAACCGCGGAGGAATGGTTTCGACGATTCAGAGCCGGTGAAAACGACACCATGGATAAGCCAGCCGACGGAAGACCTGTGACGACAAATACCGATCAAATCATGGAATACATCGAGTTAGACCGGCATGTGGCATCTCGTGACATCGTCCAGGAGATGGGAGTTAGTCAGCAAACCATTTTAAACCATCTGCAGAAGGCTGGATACGAAAAAAAGCTTGATGTTTGGGTGCCGCATGATTTGACGCAAAAAAACCTTCTGGACCGAATCAACGCCTGCGATATGCTGCTGAAACGGAACGAACTCGACCCATTCTTGAAGCGGATGGTGACTGGCGACGAAAAATGGATCACATACGACAATATCAAGCGAAAACGGTCGTGGTCGAAGGCCGGTGAATCGTCCCAAACAGTGGCCAAGCCGGGACGGCCAGGAAGGTTTTGCTGTGTGTTTGGTGGGATTGGAAGGGAATCATCCACTATGAGCTGCTCCCATAGGGCCAGACGCTTAATTCTACCATCGACTGCGAACAACTGGACCGCTTGAAGCAGGCGATCGACCAGAAGCGTCCAGAATTGGCCAACAGGAAGGGTGTAGTGTTCCACCAGGACAACGCCAGACCACACACTTCGTTGATGACTCGTCAGAAGCTTCGGGAGCTCGGATGGGAGGTTTTATCGCATCCACCATATAGCCCGGACATAGCGCCAAGTGATTACCACCTGTTCCTGTCCATGGCGAATGCCCTTGGTGGTGTAAAGTTGAACTCAAAAGAGGCTTGTGAAAAGTGGCTGTCCGAGTTCTTCGCAAATAAGGAGGGGGGCTTCTACGAGGGAGGTATTATGAAGTTGCCGTCTAGATGGAAACAGATTATCGAACAAAACGGCGCATATTTGAACTAAATCCGATCACTGTAACACTTTTTATAAAGCATTGAATAAAGAGCAAAAAAGGGGAAGGGAGATATTTGCCAAACTATTAAATCATCTAGGCTCATTATTAACATGTACAAAAATTGAGCGTGCAGCGACGAAACTATAACTGAACCGAAAGATTTTATAAGCAAAAATTCACTAAAGGAAAAAATTAAGAAGGAAAAGCGGAAGTTTAGAAGGACAGAGAAAAAACGAAATTTTTGTGGAGCCACAGATGTTGTGCTTACATAACGCCCGCCCTACCTACGATCAGCAGCCGCTAGAGCAGGGCTCTGGTGAACCCATTTGATTCTTACGACCGTGGAATCATCTGGTGAGTTCAAGCGAAAGAATCACTATGATTTCGTAATTATACAATTTTAATAAGATAAATTAAGTCTTAACATATTGGAACTTCTTCTTACGATTTTTTTCACTTAGGAAGAGAGGATTACTAAGGCAGAGCCTTCGCTCTATTTATGATCTATTTATTTATCTATTTATGATTCGCTATTAACAATAGATTAAATATAAACCAATAGAGTAGGAAATAATAATCAGTTTGTAAATTTTCGGGTTAAGTTGCAATTAATATTACATTATATTTAATAGTTATAAATACATAGAGCATTTGTCTGTTAGTCTAATCAATCTTAGACTTAGAATTAATAAATTTGTTCGTATAATATGTACTTTGTTTTGCATAACTAAAACTTTACTTTTTGATCCTTTTTCTTAATATTATCATTCTGTGTTCATCGCATACTGTGTTTTCTAGTTAGATTTAGTTTATTTTTTACTTTCAGATATGATTATTCTTTTAGTTATGATTACTTCGGATTTTGTCGGTTTTTCTGGCCTTAGGAAAGGTCGAAAAAAATAAATGCATCCTGATTTGAATTATTTTTAATTTCCTTTAGCTTTTAATAGGCTCATATGCGTTGTAGGTCGATTTAATTGAAAGGCCAATAGCATGTTTATTTTTTGGTTTGTTGTAACTCACAGTGAAAATTATCCAACGTCGAAGGATCGATCTTCCGATCGAAGGCTGTAAGAAAATGCGACTCAAATTCGCTATGGGTTAATCAAATAAATAGTGTTCACAACTTGTAGCCAGCTTAATATCTTCTTTAGAGCTGTTTCAACTTAAAACCGAATCATTTCATGAGCGCTTAGATATTTATGAAATTTTTTCCAAGCTGCTAGATCATTTCTTCATATAATTTCTTAATTTTCGAAAACATCTCAACTTACAATTAATTAATTTCACAAAGCTTTTTCCTCGCTGTGTCTATATAACCCTGCG